TCAGACGCTTCTTGGGCAGACGACCAGGCTACTCAGCGGTCGTCTCAGGGTTACTCCTTCAGTCTTGGCTCTGGTTCTGTTTCTTGGCGTTCTACTCGCTCTTCTTCTGTTCTCAGCTCCAGTTGTGAGGCTGAGATCTACGCCACAGCCATGGCGGCCCAGGAGCTACGCTGGCTCACCTACTTGCTGACCGACCTTGGAGAGCAGCCTCGTTCTCCTCCAGTGCTGTACGTCGACAACAAGGCAGCCATTGCCTTGTGTGAGGAGCACAGACTGGAGCACAGAACGAAGCACATTGCTCTGCGTTACTTCCTCGCTCGAGAGCTGCAGCAGCGTGGTCAGCTTCGCCTGCGTTACGTGGCCTCTGAGGCCAACACTGCTGATGTGTTCACCAAGGCGCTTCAGCCTTGTGACCATCAGCGCTTTTGCACTCTTCTAGGCCTTGTGCCTGCTGGACCTCACTTGCTTACTTCTTGAGTCTGTTGTACTGTGATCTCTATATATAAACCTGCATGTGAACTGGTCTTGTGACCACTTGCTTGTGCTCGGAATTTGTGTGGTATCCTTGAGATCCACCCTGAGCTTGTTTTGCCTTGCTTTGCCTTGACTGGTCTTGTGACCCCTAGTTCTCCCCCACTTTGGCTATGGGGGTGTGCCAAACATTATATATGTTGTGTTAGTTTAGGCTACAGTGGGTTAGCCGATAGGGGGTACACAATTCTAGGGTTAGGTACTTGTACTCTTTTCATTGCTAGTTCATTCATTCCTGTTCAGTAATTCCAACAGGGAATGTACCGCCAACACCTCCGCGCGACTCCCTTGGTCTAATCTCACGACCAGATCCATTCGCCCGCTTCATCGAAGGCACAACGACCCCACTCAACATCATCCCCGACCGTGAATTCTTGGTGCTCTACCTTACAACGGCACCTGCAAAAGGGGAGACAGAAACAAAAGCAGAAACAGGGAGCCAGACAACGAAGCGGAACCAGGAGAAGAGGAAGAATTCCCACTCCAGATCCCACAAGAAACGGAAGCAGATCAGCAGAACATTTCGCTCGCTACAAGCGCACCTCTGGCATCCGCGCCGAAGACGACCTCTGGCACCAGCGGCTGGGCCACCCCTCGCGCTAGACTCTCACCAACTGTCTCCGTGCTTAAGTCCTTCCTCTAAGAGCACTGCTGCGTCCCGACGGAACAGAACCTCACAACACCCCACACCCGATCACCTGCACCGTCTGCCCCACAGCTGCGCTCTCCCACAGCGCCTACCCCTCTCTGGAGCCGAGCACCAACCGCTACAAGAAGTTGCAGAAGGTGTACAGCGACTTCATTGTGCTCACCCATGACGGCATCAACGGCGAAAAATACACACTCACCTTCATTGTCGCTTACTCGTGCCATGTGTGGATCGCCAACGTCGACGCCCGCTCCAAAGCTCCATAAGTTTTTCGCATCTGGCTTGCACACGCTCAACGGTAATCAGGGAGGAAGCTGAAGATCTAGCAGAGTGACGGGGCCAAGGAATTTCGCGGCAACGAACTGGAGAACGTTCTCACTGAGAAGGGGATCAAGCATGAGATTTCTCTCCCCTGCGCTCACCAGCAGCAAGGCGTGGCAGAGAGGGTTAATCGCACCCTCATGACGAAAGTGCGCGCCCTCATGAATCAGTCCGGCCTGCCCAAGAAGTTTTGGCCCTACGCCATGAACCATGCGGTGCGCATGCACAACCTTCTCTCCACCACCGCCAACAAGGACAATCTTTCCCCCCAAATGAAGTGGACCAGCTCAAGGGGAGATCCCTCCATGCTGAGGGTTTGGGGGTGCATGGTTCAGTATCGGCCGACCTCAGCCACAATCGGCAAGTTCGCTCATCGTGCGCGCTGGGGAATTCATTTGGGCCTCAGCAAATGAGCACAAAGGCTGGCTTATTCTCGACATCGACAGCAAGGAAATTGTCCCTGTGCGTGACGTTCTCTTCTACGAGCGGCTCACCTTGAAGCAATGGATAAAGGACGAACGTCGCAACGAGGCATGCGGCTACGTCATCAGCGGCCGCAGCTTCCCGTCTCCAGAAGACGAAGCGGCAACAGTTGCACTAGACCGCGATGACGCCGACGAACACCCAAGCGTCCTGCCCCGCCCTCGCGACGACGACGACGATGACAGCGACAACGCTCCCGCGCCAGGACCGTCACGGCGCCAAGCTGAGCCAAGAAACATCTCGCCTGGCTACGAGAGCAATGACGACGACGTGGTGGAAGTCACCACCACCACCGCAGACACCGCTCATGTGTCCGGCCTCCAGCTTCTCGGCCTGCACACGTCCGTCACTACCCTCGCGCGCTCTGTCGAACCCAAGAATCCTCGCCAGGCCCTAACCGGCCCTCACGCCAAGGAGTGGCGTGCTGCCATGGACGTGGAGCTAAAGGCGTTGGAATCTCGAGACACCTGGGTTCTAGTCGATCGTGCAGCACTGAAGGGGAGGAGGGTGCTCAACGGAAAATAGGTTTTTTCGCCTGAAGACCAACGCTGTCGGAACCATCGAGCGCTTCAAAGCACGCTGGGTCGTACGCGGGTACGACCAGCGCCATGGCATCGACTTCGACCAAACCTTCGCTCTCGTCAGCCGTCACTCCTCTGTCAGAATTCTACTCGCCATTGCCGCCGCTAAGCATCTGCCACTGCGACAGATCGACGTGAAGAATGCGTTCTTATACGCGTTGGTGGACGCTACTATTTTCGTCACACACACCTACGGGGAAGGAGACCCCAGAGTTTGTCAGCTGAAGAAATCCCTCTACGGGATCAAGCAGGCGACTCGCCTCTGGCAGCAGCATCTGCACAAAATTCTCCTTGAGATCGGCTTCAAGCAGCTGCCGCATGACCCGGGAATGTACCGCCTTCACTTCAGTGGCGACTACATCATCGTGACAGTTTACGTCGACGACCTGCTGTACATGGGCACCTGCAACAAACTCCTTAACCAGTTCGAGGAGAACCTGGCGCAGCGCGTTAACATCACCATCAACCACAACGTCAAGCAGTTCTTGGGGCTGAACATCACCTACGCGCCAGAAGCAATTCACCTGTCAGCCTCCAAGTACGCAGAACAGCTGGGGGAACGCTTCAACATTTCACCAGCGCCACTCTCAACCCCTTACCGCAACCCCAGCGCCAACCACAAACCGGACAACAAACCTCTGTCCCCTACGGCACTTCAACTGTACCAGCAGCAACTGGGTTGCCTGCTGTTCGCATCTGTCACCTGCCGACCCGACCTTTCGTACATTGCCAGCCAACTGGCGCAGTATACATGCAAGCCAGTAGCTGAGAACCAGCTGGACTTGGAGCGCGCCCTGCAGTACTTCATCTCCACCCCTGACATCGGGCTCTCCTACTCCACGCTGACGACGACCTCCTTCAATCTCAATGGCTACGTAGATGCAGATCACGCCGCTGATGCTGCAAATCGACGATCCCGAACCGACTTTGTTTTCTACCTAGAACCAACTCGGCCAATCTCCTGGAACTCGCAGAAGCATGAGCTGGTTGCCCTGTCATCGGCTGAAGTTCGCGAAGGCCTGTACCTGCAGGAGCTGCTACAGGAGGCGAAAATCCCAACTTCGCCCACCTTTCGCCTTCACTACGACAACCAGTGTGCCATCAGGATCGCGAACAAGCCAGGTTTCGTGAACCGCACGAAGCACATTGCGCTTCGGTACTTTTTCGTCAAGGACGAAATTGACCAGGGGAAAGTTGACCTCGCGTACTGCCCTACCACTGAGATGGCAGCATACTTCCTCACCAATTGACTGCCACGTCAGCAGTACAAACACTGCTCCCACCTCACCGGAGTGGTCAAGCGAGTCAGCTCCTTCTGCGCCCAGGAATGAAGAGGAGTGTTAAGATATGAAGTTATATGAGAAGGCATTCCTGTATGCTGCAGGAGCCGACTCTACCGAGTACGAAGTCGAGGAGTCAGAAGAGTCGAAGCGACGCAGCAACCGTCTGTCCAAGACCGATGCAGGCAGAAACATTTGAAACGAAAAGAGCGGGAACAGGTTTGAAACGGGTTCCCGCGCCGCACGGTTTGAATTCGCTGCAATAAAGGAATGTACCCCTTAGAGTACATGGCTAGTCTAGGTCTTTTCGTATTCCCTTGTATTCTTATATAAACTCGATGTATGCATGCTATTATCATCTCAGTCATTTACATTCACTCTCACCCGAGTCCACTACTTCCGCTGCAACACTTCTCTGCGATCAAGCTTGAGCGATCCTTCGCTAAGTCCCACCTGGGATTGTAACAAAAACTGCTAGTTTCCCTTACGGGAATGAAATTTTACAATAGCTGCTGAAGCAAGTATTTCTACGTGACTGAATCTATGATATATTTTAGCTTCGTCTTTGGCACGGCTTCTTATCGAGGTTTCTCATGCTCGACACATTCACTGCCTTGTCCCCTCGTCAGGACGCGTTACAATTTAAACATAAGAGGAGGTTCGGGGTCCCGCCGAGGCTGAGACATCAGTCTCCCCCGAGCCACGTGTCGCGATCGCTCTCAGGTTCGTTAGTTTGCGGGATTACAAACGCTTGATTTGAGTGGTGACAGATCGTTATGGAAAATATCTCGCCCTCGGCGACGTGACTTGACTATTAGCGAGAATCAGCGAAACAGGGATACAAATAGTGCGTTATACCCCAAAAAAAAAAAAAACAGGGATACAATATATTTCGAATAACTGCACGACCGCAATCGTCCCGACGTATCGATGCTTTATTTGTAACGCGTCCTAATCGCACGAATCTCCGATCTGCTAAATCCTGGTGCGGAAAATCCGTTTTCTCAAACTGCCTCGTGTAGTGTATCGAGACGTGGCCGTTAGTGGAACGTTCTCCCTCACTTGTGCCTGTATCTCCCCTTCTAGCCTCGATATTTCCCCCTTCTTCTCTCGCCGCGGCTTTGCTGTCACGCGCGTCGCCGTATCGTCGCCACCATGTTTCGCAATCAGTACGACACGGATGTCACCACTTGGAGCCCCGTCGGCCGCCTGCACCAGGTGATCCGCCCCTCTCTCCTCCTCTCGCCCCGCCGATCCGCCTCTCTGCTGCTATCACGTTTCACCGCTCTGCGAGACTGCCAGCCTGTTAGACTGCTAAGCCTCCAGGGCACGAACTCCGCTCGCGAATCGCCTCGGTAGGACAATTCTACAGTCCGATGGCAGTGCGACGGCTGTGCTACGGCTGTGCCACCCTAAAATAAATCAGCGTTCGAATTCCGCGACCGAATTCGGATCCCATGAAACCCCCTTGCTCTGCTCTCCCTCGCCCAGACCGTCGTCTTCCCTTGGTGCCAAGCGAGCAGCACGCTGCTGTCCCCACACTGCTCTTTACCCACCGCGCCCTCCCTTCTCCTCCCCTCCCCTCCCCTCCCCTTCTTTTTCCTCCCCTCCCCTTCCCTCCCCTTCTTTTTCCTCCCCTCCCCTCCCTCTTCCCGCCCTCTCCCTCCCTCCCCTCCCTCTTCCCGCCCTCTCCCTCCCTCCCCGACCTCCCCCTCCCTCCCCTTCTTCAATCTCCCTCCAGGCTGCCCGTTCCCGTCGCGTCGAGCCCCCGCAGCGACCACCCCGCGTGCTGCCCTCCCGCTGTTGTTTCCCCACCGCGCGTGCTGCCCTCCCTCTGTTGTTTCCCCACCGCGCGTGCTGCCCTCCCCCTGTTGTTTCCCCACCGCGCGTGCTGCCCTCCCGCTGTTGTTTCCCCACCACGCGTGCTGCCCTCCCGCTGTTGTTTCCCTGCCGCACCTCGCCTACCCTACCCCATCGCTTCCTCCCTTTTGCGTCCTTCCCGGTTACCCCCGCGCGCGCGATTGTCTCCTCCTTTCCCCTTGTCAACCTTCTCGCTTCTTCCTCCCTCTTCCCTCGCCCAACCCCCACCTCATCCCATTCCAACCCGTCCTCTTGCGTCTCACCCCTTTCGCACTCAGGCGGATACGTCACAGAGGCCTTTCTCTCACTGCTCTCTCACACGCCCCTCTCCCCCCAACACCCTGCCCTCCCGCCTGTCCCCCCCCACGGCCTCGCTCCTGCGCATGTGAGAGGGGATACGCCATGCACGCCATGCACTGGTCTCCAAGCCGCCCTTCCTCCCTCTGCCCCAAGCGTCCCCCCAACCCCAATCCAGCTGCCATGCGAAGGTGGATTAAGGCGTGGGGGCGGCGCAGCTGACGGGCTGCTTGGGCGACATGCTTGCATTGCTGCCTAACCTCCCTTTTCCACTCCTCCTCCCCTTCACACCCGTTTCACCCTTCACACCCCTCACATCCTTCACACCCCTCACATCCTTCGCACCCCTCACATCCTTCACACCCCTCACACCCCTCACACCCCTCACACCCCTCACACCCCTCCCCCTCCCCCCACCAGCAGGTCGTGTGCGCAGGGCAGTGTGCGCAGGGCAGTGTGCGCAGGGCAGTGTGCGCAGGGCCAACCACGCAGTGCTCGCCACTCTCTCCCACTCCACTCCTTCCCTTGCCGTGCCTCCCTGCTCGCTCCCGTGCCATGCTCTTCTATCCCCCACGCTCCCCGCACATGGCACCAGATGGAACATGCGATGGAGGCAGGGAAGCAGGGCAGTGCGGCACAGGCAAGACACGTGTGCCTCGCGGCCATCCTTCCTCGTGCCCTCTCCCCCCCTCTGTCTGCCCCTCTCCTCCCCACCAGGTGGAGTATGCAATGGGGGCGGTGAATCAGGGCAGTGGGGCAGTCGGCCTGCGCAGCGATGCATGCCAGCATCACTCCCTAACCTCCCTTCTCCGTTCCTTGGCGCCCCTCACTCCCCTGCCCTCTCCCTCATCCCACCAGGTGGAGTATGCAATGGAGGCAGTGAAGCAGGGCAGTGCGGCGGTGGGGCTGCGCAGCGATGCATGCCAGCATCACTCCCTAACCTCCCTTCTCCGTTCCTTGGCGCCCCTCACTCCCCTGCCCTCTCCCTCATCCCACCAGGTGGAGTATGCAATGGAGGCAGTGAAGCAGGGCAGTGCGGCGGTGGGGCTGCGCAGCGATGCATGCCAGCATCACTCCCTAACCTCCCTTCTCCGTTCCTTGGCGCCCCTCACTCCCCTGCCCTCTCCCTCATCCCACCAGGTGGAGTATGCAATGGAGGCAGTGAAGCAGGGCAGTGCGGCGGTGGGTCTGCGCAGCACCACGCACGCGGTGCTGGCCACGCTCAAGCGGGCGGCGTCCCCCCTGGCGTCGTACCAGCGCAAGATATTCCGCGTGGACGACCACATGGGCATCGCCATCGCAGGGCTCAATGCTGATGGGCGTGTCCTTTGCCGCTTCATGCGCTCCGAGTGTCTGTCTCACAAGTGAGTGCCCCGTGCTTCAATCCCTCATGCACCAATGGGTGCTCCACACCACACATTGTCCACTCCACACACCGCCCACTCCACACACCGCCCACTCCACACACCGCCCACTCCACAAACCGCCCACTCCACACACCGCCCACTCCACACACCGTCCACTCCACACACCGCCCACTCCACACACCGCCCACTCCACACACCACCCATTCCACACACCGCCCACTCCACACACCGCCCACTCCACACACCGCCCACTCCACACACCGCCCACTCCACACACCGCCCACTCCACACACCGCCCACTCCACACACCGCCCACTCCACACACCGCCCACTCCACACACCGCCCACTCCACACACCGTCCACTCCACACACCGCCCACTCCAGCGCAACATCTCCCACACGTAGTTGGTTACTGTAGTGAGGGCGCCGCAAGTCTCTCCCCTGGCGTGCTACCAGTGCAAGATCGTCCACATGGGTATCGCCATTACTGTGTCAATTTATGCGCTCCGAGTGCGCGCCACATAAGTGAGTACACATGGGCAGATTAATGTTCTGTGGGTGCTTGTCGCATGGGCATGGGTGCGTGTCTCACAAAGGACTGCTCCTCACCTTTCTCTCGTCGCCCTTCCAGACATCCTTCCTTCAATCAACTGCCATCCCTCTACTTACCCTTTTCTCACTAGCGTACGTGTACCTGTGGTCTCCGATGTTCATCTACCTCTCTGTCCCCCCCCAGGGTTGTTCTACAGGCCCTTCTACTGCCAGGCTTCAGTTCCAATATCAGTGGTAGAACCACTACTCTCTCCCCTGAATTATCTTTGCCCCCGTCTCCCACCACCCTTCTCTCCCTCCCACTTTCTTCCCCTTAACTGTCTATCCCCATGTCCACGTCTGCCCTGCCATCCACTACCCTCGCCACATCTCCCATCCCCTCCCAGGTTTGTCTTCGAGTCGCCTCTCCCGGTGGGCCGCCTTGTCTCCATGGTAGCAGACAAATCTCAGGTGTGCACGCAGCGCTCGTGGCGCCGCCCGTACGGCGTGGGGCTGCTGGTGGCCGGCTTCGACCAGACCGGCCCGCACATTTTTCAGACCTGCCCGTCGGGCAACTTCTGGGAATTCCACGCCATGGCAATCGGGGCGCGTTCGCAGGCCGCCAAGACGTACCTGGAGCGCAAGTATGAGTCGTTCGGGGCGTGTTCGCTGGACGAGCTGGTGCGACACGCGCTGCTTGCTGTGAAGGAGTCGCTGCAGGAGGGGGAGCTGAGTGGAGCCAACTGCAGTGTCTCTATTGTGGGGGAGGGGCAAGCGTTTAGCATTTTGACGGATGCGCAGGTGCAGGAGCATATAGATAGGATGGAGAATGAGGAGGGTGGGCAGGGAGGGGCGGCGAAGGAGGAAGTAGAGGTGGTGGAGGAGGTAGAGGTGGAGGATGTGGAGGAGGAGAAGGCAGGGGAAGGAGAGGAGGGTGGTACCAGGGAGGGGTCTGAGGGTCCTGCTCCTATGGAGGCTTGATAATTGAGGTGCGGAGCATATGTTTTGACACGAGTGCAAGTAATTGTAAATCACGCAGCATTGTGATGCTTGTGGTTTAATTGATTAGCTATAACTTCTGTGCTTGAACTCCAAGAGCGACTGTCTAAGAATACTGTACGGTACGACTATCTGGTGGCTGTTATTTCGTTGAACAGTAGGTTTTGCACATCAATGTACAGTCCAATACTCTTGGGTTCCATGACTGGTGTCTCTTATAAAGCGTACAGCATGGAGATATCTTCCCGGGAAGATATCAGCGAGATCCCTCCGAAAAGCCCGCTTTGCCCCTGCGGGTTTTCCCTGGAGGGATTTTCGTTTTCCCGCAGTCGTCTAGTGGCGCACGCGAGGGGCGGAAGGCGACCTGCCCTCTCGCCCGAAAACGGGCACCCCCTGCTGATGACGCCAGCGACCCGCGCCCTCGAGCTGGCAGTGTCCCCCCCAACCGAACCCAACCACACCCTCGGTTCGATGACGGGTTCCGTCCGGTAACCCACCGAACCCTCACCGGGCGTCGCCTCGTCAATGGAACCCGTCCGCGAATTTTCGTGAGCGGACGGAAGCGACGCCCATCTACGCCGCGCTGCACTGCTCTCGCCCTCGATGGGCCCGTTTCGTGTGGCGCTCGACCCTGGTGACGTGTCGAACGCCCCCTCCGTTCATTGAAAGGGGCCTTTCCGCTGCATTCAGGGCGCCCCACCTCATGCAACCACCAAATTTCACATCGAGGCCAATAAGGCCCCGCCGCCCACTGCGAAAAGCTCCTCCTCCCTTCGTCGCGAAACGCGCCCTGCCTCGTCGCCCTTCCACCCGAGTATGTCTCGGTGGGGGGGATGGCAAACAGACAGCTAATACCTGAGAGCGTTCTCATTTTGTTGCTGTTTTCTTCCAACCCCCTTCCTACTCCCTGGTTCCCAACTTTCCTGCACTCCCGCCACCCCTACTGCTAGGCCTGCCATGGCTACAAGCCTCGCCTCCCTACCCGTCGTGAACGAGCCGACGGTTCGACGCGGCCTCATCCTAACTGTTGAACTAAGAGAGGAATGAATCGACTAGGTCAAAGGGTGGGGTACAAGAGTGTCGAGAAATGTTACCATATGTACCCTCTAAGGATAACCCCTACATAGCCTAGACAGATAGAAATCATATATTGTGCTGACACACCCCCATAGGTGAAGTAGGGGATAGCCAAACCAAATAGTGGTCACAAGACCAGTCACAAGAAGCAAGCAAAGCAAAGCCCAGGGTGGATCTCAAGATCACCACGCATTCTGAATAGAAGCAAGCGGCCAGAGGGCCAGTTCACATGCAGAGTTAGGGCGTATCCAGGTTCGGGTCTTGAGCACTGTTCTGGCTACTGTTTGGGTCATGCGGAATTTGCGCATGACCCGAAGTGGGCTGCCGAGCCGCGCGCAGCCCCAGCTTTGGGTCAATGTGTAGGTGTTGTGCGACTGACGTGCACGACCCACCCACAGCCAATCACCTGGTTGCACGATTGTGGTGTTACTGCCAACTTTTTGTCGATTGGCAGTCGAGTGTCACACGTGGGCAATTTCCCACGTCTGACACCTCTGCACCCAACCACTCGGCAAATTGACCCCGAGTGTGTCTAAAATTTCTCGCGTCGCGCTCCCAACATTTGGGAATTCGCTCCGGGAATTTTGGGGGTTGTGTTTTCTCAGTGAGTGTCACGTGGTTTTGCGTGGGTCTCGCTAATGACCTTTCGAAATGTTATGGCATCCCTCCATTGGATGCGACTGTTGTTGTGAGCTGGATTTTTGCGCGAAAACCCTTGCGGCAATATGGGGGTCGCATGACCCAAACATGCGTTCTATGTTGTTTGGGTCATCCGCAAATCGCGCATGCCCGGAACAGTGCTCATGACCCGAACCTGGATACGCCCTTATAAGAGCAAGGCAGACACTTATCACAACCTAGCAAGAGTAAACATGTAAGTATAAAGATATATATTAGTGTACAAGTGCAAGATCAAGAGACAAGCAGGTGAGGCAGAGTGGGCAGAAGCCCAAGAGCGGTGCAAAAGCGCTGATGATCACCAGACCTGAGGGCCTTGGTGAAGACATCAGAAGTGTTGGCCCGAGAGGCCACGTAGGAAAGACAAAGCTGACCACGCTGCTGCAGCTCTTGAGCAAGGAAGTAGCGAAGAGCAATGTCCTTCGTTCTGTGCTC